TCTCTATAATTCTGAGAAAATGTCTTGCGCAAAAATTTGTTTCATTCTTGCTACGGCATAAAAAAAAATCAAAAATTGGTATATCTGCTTTTAAATACAAATACTATTCTTGTTTCCATAATAAAAAAATAATTTTATGCTTATCAATACAAACTAAAAACTTTATAATTTTAAGCTTTTTTGAGTCTCCATTTTCTAATTTAAATAAATAACTTCCACTCTTAAAATTACTTTTGTGAATTTGATTTCAATTCTTTTACTACAAAAGGTTTCTAAGAGGAGATAAAAGTTAAGGTTTAAATTATGCAAATATTTAAAAATATACATATATTCCTCGGACAATATGCGAGCGAAGATTATGCTGTATATTCTTTGTCTACAGTTAAAGCATTCTAATATATTTCAAACATATTTTTAGCAATTGTATCTCAAAATTACATCACAGTACTGAATTCATTACTAATTTAACCATAAAGGATGGTATATAAAATGATTTAAACAAACATGAACTTGTAATTCTTTGAAAGCATATTTCACTAGTAATTCAAAGCTAGTTTAAGTCAGCTATAAACCTACATAACTATATAGCGTATGCATAACAAATGAATATGTTATAAATCAATTTATAATATATTCTTTAAATAAAAAGAGTCATTCAGTGTCTTCTTATAAATATTATTTTATGTTACTTAATGTACATAGTGTGCTAATGTATCCAAAGCACTCTCTAGGAAATAAAACTTTCACTTTTGACAATTAAGCTATCCTTGAGGTGTATTTCGTTAATTGTGGGAATCATTTCGTCACGAAATCACGTGATGTGTGACGAAATGCGCTAATGTATGATAAATATATGATAAAATAATATGAGTTAATATATGATGTGTTTCCTCAACTCGAAGCCTCAAGCAGTGCATTCTGGGATATTATCAACTAACACGAAGACTAAACAATTGAAACTTAAATGACCGAATTAGTCAACCGGTCCATGTAGTGCTCAAGGAGTTTATCTCATGCAAGAAAGATCCCTGGTCTAAGCCCCGCTTCAGGTATGGATGCAATTTATTTATCTGCTCTGCCTATTCCTCTTGCGTTGTTGTGGTGACGTTGACTACCTAAATGGTGCTTAGGAAAAAGTAATCAACAATATCACATGTTCGATACCATCAGACACTACAAGTGTCTCAAGGTACTTTTTCGGTTTTGTTGTTTATGGTATTATTTTAGGGGAAAAATTGGAAACAGAAATATTTCTTTACGTTTGACGAAATTCATTTCCTTGACAAAGTGACGATAGTTATTTCGTCACTTTGACATAATATTTGCTCGGAATATATACCAGGGAACGATTTCCTCAAAAACGAAAAACAATTCGCGATATTAGAGTATCCTTTTCTTAGAGTGCAGTTTTATATTTTCAACAATCTAACTTTTAATCATATGGGCGGAAATTACAGCTTCAAAAAATAAAATTTCTAATTTTCCATTCAACAACTGAAAAAAATTCTTACAATTAAAAAAATATCTATACCTGCAAGGTATATATATTAAAGTTAGTGAAGTAATAAATATTACTCCTTGAAAATACTCAAAATTCTGATTGTTCTATTTTTCTTAAATAAATTAATTTGTCACTGAGCAGCAAGACATTAATCAGTTATTAAAACTTAGTTTTACTTATCTCAAATAGTTTAAAAGTTTGGCTAAGTTTTCTAAATCTAATTGCTAGATTTTTAATCAAATTTTAAATTAAACTTCATTTAAATCGTACAAAAAGAAAGATTTCTTACGCTACTTTCTAAAACTAGACAATTTATCTGCGAATTAATTGAAGAATAATATAATTTGCGATATTAAATATAAAGAAACTATTAGTAATGTTTAGTATAATTATGGGAAACTTTATTTAAATGTGACTAAAACATTTTTATTAAAAACGGGAAGTTTAATCCCGTTAGTTTTATCTGCTTTTATAGTAAGTTGTGTAAATAAGTAATGAAAGAAATTTTATGAGCCACCCATTGGAAAAAATTACAGATCAAGTTACGGTACAAACTACCGATACTCAGGATGCCGGTACATTTTACAATGGAATTCCTTTTTACCGTAAATTTTTATGAAAAAAACTGATATACGGTAATTTTTATACAATAATATTTACTATAAAATCACTGAAATACTGCAACTAAGCAAATATTACAGTAAAAATTATGATGTACAATTTTAAGGTGAAATAAATTTTACGAATGCTGCACCCATGGTACCAGTATTTTTTACCGAAATTTGATTCGGAATTTTTAACTGTGTAGAATTAAATGTTTAATAATCTATGTGCCCCTTCTGTTAAAATTTTGTAAACTGATAATGAAATGCTTTATCAAATGGAAAAGTGACAGTTTTTAAGAACTTCCAGGAATCAATCTTAAAATAATGAGCATCTTAAGCGTTTTAACTTTCGAAGCATTTCTACACGTGTTATATCATTATACTATGCCTTTATTTCATTTTTAGTGAAGAATTTGAACTGTATAATTAATACTGCAGAAATTTTAATACTTAATTGGAGCTAGAATTTTTTTTATCAATTAAAGATAGCACTTAGCTGCATCTTGGAGCCGCGATAGCACAGGGGATAGAGCATTTGCCTTCCATTGAGGTGAACCGGGTTCGAATCCCAACGATGTCTGGTCGATACGGATTCCGCATCTGGCTTGCATCGACCACAGTGCTGACGTGAAATATCCTCAAAGGTAGACGGATCATGGGTTAGAGTCCTAGCTAACTGTGGGAGATTCTCATGGACTTCTTCTCCATGTAACGCAAATGCGGGTTAGTTCCATCAAAAAATCCTCTCCTCGAAGGCACAATTTCTCTCAATACGTGATACAGGAATTCCCTTGTCTTCTGGATTAGGTTCAAAATTACAAGGCTACGGAGTTGAAATTCAGTAGTCGTAAACCAAAAAAAAATTTTCGACTGTTCAAAAACGGTTTTAAAATAAAGATGAAATAACCGCATATTGAGTAAAATATATATTTTTCTCAGAGAAAAATGATAATCAATGTTTAAGTTATTGCTATAGAGTTGAGAGGCGGTCAATTAAAAATTTATTTGGTCTTCGCTAGGAATCCTGTCATTCGAAATAACTTTTTTTTAGCAAAATATAAAAAATATATAAGTATTAGCCAAAGTTTAATTAAGAAGATATTTAATTAAATAATTTCCAAAAGTATTAAAAACCATCAGTAAGAAAGCATATTACTCTGATCACATAATAATAGAGAAATTTTTTTATCCCTTTAAGCTTTTTAATATCATGCAAAAATAAGGTTTTTTTTTACAAGAGTAAACTTTAAAAATATATATTTTAATATCGATTGTTTCAGTAATTAAATCAATGATCTCGCTACGGTTTCTTTAATATCTTAGCGGAGAAAAGTTTAAGCTCCCGGAAAAGGGAGTATAAATAACACTTATAAAAAAAAAGACAACTAAAAAATATCGGGCTCCGAATGAAGCGAAGGAAAGTGGCATAATTTACATGAGATACAGCTTTAAGAGGATGGCGATAAAATTTGCAATTCTGTGAGAAATAGCGGTCGTTTGTCTTGCGTGGTGTACCAGTGGACTTTAGGATAATTTGCTCCATTGCAATCATTCGTCAAACCATTTTTCAATTTCCCCGCTGTATTTCAACTGTTGAAGAAAAGAGCTTTTAATTCTTTCCCGTAAATTTTGTTTTAGGAATATACATTTGTTGTAGCAGGTAATTTCGTAAATAAAAATTTTGCTACTCTAAGGAATTCAGATATTTTAAGGTTTTACTAAACGTTTCCTATTTTATGTGAAATTTAGATAATTTCTCTTCCATTTTTTGGATTAAAAACATAGCTATGGGTTTTTTCTAAATTTATTTTTCTGAATTATTTTCTAAATTTTTAGCATCATATTCCATATAAATTTCAGTATCAACATTTCTGTAAGGTTTAAATAACTTTTGAATACTAAGCAGTTCATTTTGAAATTTTTCAAGTTTTTTCAAGTAATTGTCAAAACAATATTGGGTCGTTTAAGTTTTACCGAAAAATTTAAGAAAAAAGAAGCTAGTTTTTTTCAAACAGGCGATAAAGGTTTTGTTAGCAAATCTATTTTTCAAAAGTATTAACTTCTACAAATCAGAGATATTTTTCATTTCCACTGAAAAATAGGTGATTTTCTTTCTTTTACAAACAAAATAGAAAGTTTTTAAGCAATTAACACTTTCACAATTATTGAAATACTTATTGTAGAAATGCTCTTGGATTGCTTTTCCAGCTATTCCTGATTTACATTCAGAATATATAATTGTCAAATCAAATAAAATAACTCTGATTTTTTTAAAATATTTTTTTCTAACGTGGTTTGCACTGTAAAAATTCCGGATTAAATTACGGCAAAATATGGTGGCCCTCAAGGTGCTGGTACATTGTACCGTAAAATAGATTTACGGAGCATAAAATCTAATGCACCGTGATTTTTACTGTAACAGTTACAGTAAAATCATTGAACCACTCTAACTAAGCAAATATTCCTGCAAAAATCACGGAATAAATTTTTACAACATCTGTAATATTTCATTTTAAAATGCATTTTTCGGTAAAATGGACTTTACAAATGATGCGCCCAAAGTAACTATATGTACCGTAATTTTATCCGGAATTCTTTACAGTGTAGAGCAATATTATGAAGACTGTTAAATAAGATAAGTAATTAAATTTTAAGTATGGAGGTTAAAAAATTATCATGCTATTCTAAGTTATTGTGTGTTATGCTATCATCATTAACAAAACCATTTAGCTAGTACATAAAATGAAAAATATATACATAAAAAATATAAAGTGAATTATGCACAAAGACGTTACATCTTACTTTAACCTGATCGAAAAATTAAATAAGCACAGTTTCTAAAACATGTTTATACAGAGCATCATTAAAAAACTAAAATTTATTAAATTGCTTACAATTTACTTGAAGCATTATTCGTCTGCTTACAGATGGTGGAACTCCATTAGATGCTATACAAAGATATGCTCCCATGTGAAGACGGCTAACCTTTTGAATTGTTAGTTTCTCTCCTTTATGAACAGTGGTATCTAAAATAAAATAAAAATGGTACATATTTCATACATTTTATAGAACAACGTATTTTATTCCATCAAAGAAATGCGATAAGCGTAGAAAATTTAAAATACGAAGCAGAAACCATTTATTTTTTATCATGTATTTATTTATTTTCGAAATTTTCTTTTGCGAGCATATAATAGTAGAAGAAATGGTAGATCTGCAAGAAAGCAATTTTTTCTTTGAAATTAGAGCCCTTTAATTATTAAAAAGAATTAAAAAAATCGTAACAATGCAACCAAACAGATCAATACTACATGTATAAAAGTGATGGAATGATAAATATTTAATATCGCACGATAGAAGTTTTAAATTGCTAACTTTGTGTATTTCGGTGAAATATAATTTTATTTTAATAAAAACCACATAGAAATAGCAGCAGAGATATTATTTTTAAAGTAAATAAAAAGTTGTAAATGAATAAATAAGAAAGTATAAGAAACCAAAAAGGCATTGAGCTGTCACTGTAAAGGACTGGGATTCAATCCCCAGGGGCAGGTCGAAATCCACCAAGTTTAATTTCGATATGAACCAGTTTGCCTGAGAAATCAGAACAGCATGTGCATAATGTTGACCATATTACCGCAATCATGTCGTAGGTAATGAAATTGTAGATCCTTAATCTATAACCCCCTTGCTAACGACGGAATGCTTTACTTTTTATAACGGACCAAATGACCAAAAGGGACTAATTAAAGAATGGCAATGATTGCTTAAAATACTTACTTGTTAATTTAAAAATAGGACTTTTTTTTGAAATTCGATTTCTCAGAAACTGTTCCACCGATTAGCTCAAACTTGTATTTTGCCTTGTAAATCTACTTTCATTAAAATGGTGCAAGGAATTGCACACCTTGCAATTAAGAAGTTTCCCACCATTATTAAATAGAATAATAAAAAATAATAAATGCTTAGTAAAATTTATCTTTTGCATGGTATTATCTTTGGATAAACGAGCTTTATGATTGTGTGCAAAAACTTTGCAATTCACTTAAATGTTCGCAAGATATAGTAAAATACGCAAAATGTAAAATTAACATTAAGGGGTCCCAAACTTTCAAATTCTCTCCTGAACAAACTATCGGGACGATAATTCCAAGAATTACGGAACACCCCTATATTTTGAGGATCAGAAATACGAATCCATCGTAAATTGTGTGTTTATTCAACGAAAGTACGTTTTTGTGCTTGATTTCGTAACCTAGAATGTCGTCTGCACTAATTAATTAGCATATTTGAAATCACATTCTTAAACCATAAAGACGGAGTCCTAGTACGTGAGAATCCGATTAAAAGTTATTCCGGGAGTTTCGTATATTATTTTGCACGCTGCACGCACTGATTCTAAGCAATTATTTTTGTTGCAATCCTAGACAAGAAAGAATGGTAGTGTTGCAATGTTAGTGTGCGTGTGTTACTGTTTTGCAAATCAAAATGTAAATTTATCACATGAAGTAGAAGCAAAATTTTTTTTTAACTTCAAGCTCTTACTTTCAACTGACATAAAATCAAAAAAAATCTCTTGAAAACCTATCATTATTTGTATACGTTGTAAAACGGCCAATTAAAGTACATGTTTTAGAACATATAGTACTCTAATTAACGGAACCACATCTTAACTCTGGATGCAACGGTGCTACTGTTTTTTTTTATATTCATAAAACATGAAATTTAATCTTTTCTGCGGATAAAAGACCCACATTATTGAGTTATTGCGTTTGAACAAGAGATAATTTCCTCCCAGTTTCAGTGTCACTTCTTCAACATGAGATTTTGTACGAAATGTGGCGTAGATTTACCAGACTAGATCCCAAGGAATTATTCTGCATAATTTGAAACTTGAATATGGCTCGCAGGTTTCTATACAAAGGAACGCTATCAAGGAATTCCTTATCACCGCATCATGAATTCAATTTGGTGCTTGTTATAAAACTACGTATTTGTGCCATGTGCATTAGATAGCTCCTAATTTATGAATTTCAGTCTTGAATAATAAGCCTTCAAACAACGCAAGGGAAAGAACAAAACGACTGATAGCTATCAGAAATGCCCATCAGAACAAATAAAAACACTATTTTAAAAAGCCAAGACTACTTAATTAAAAAATACTACTTCTTCATTCAAAAATAAAGACATTATTGCTTATTTTTCGAAAATAAGACATGTTAAATCGATGCAGTAAGTAAAAATACTTTGCAATATTTTCGCAAATAATCATTTTCATCCTTAAATAACTCCCAAGTCACTCTCAGAATTAGGCAATTAACGAGAAATAATGCGCTTTTTCTGCTGCTTTTGAATAACGAAACCAAACAACAAAATTAAATCTATTCTGAAAAATCACCGAAAAAATCTATTCTTTTAGAGTGAAAGATATTTACGTCAAAAGGTTTTAAATGAAACCTTAGAAACCAGTGAATCCCAATAGTAATGTTACTTCGAGCGTTCTTCTTAGCTTATTTCCGCGCTAATTACGGTACTAATTAAATGGATTAAGTTTATGCAAGCGCAGGTGGAAATTGAATTTTCTCATTAAAGAACGGCGGAAAAGTGTGAGAATTTCTTTAAATCGTGAGCATTTCAGCGACGGCTTATTTGTTAGTCTATAAGGCGTAACACTTTTTCTAACGAACTTTTTTTTTTAACGTACGTTTCATTAAGTAGATAAACAAATAAAAATCCATGCGGATTTTTTATCGCTTAAATGAAAACAGATCTAATCGGAATCTTATTCTGATGATTTATACGATTTAATCTAATTTAAAACACGGATTATCAAATGGTGTGAATGATTCATTCACTTTTTTATGCCAAGAAGATTATTTTTGCAAAGTTTTAATTATATCATGTTTCAGCGATTTGTGTTTTAAGTTTCTGCTTTAAATTTGTAAAAAATAAATCGAAAAGCTGGAAATAATTCATTTAAGATACAAACGGTTTTAATGGTTTTTACAATTTAAATTAATTTGAAGAAGGTTCATTGAATCAAATGACTAATCTTGTCATTGTGATTTTCTCAATTAATTTACTGAATAAGTAAATTATTCAAATAAAATTATATCGTAATAGATTACATAAATTAATTAATATATTACGTTCTCACTTTTTATTTTAAAAGTTTATGTACTTATGGGAGTGCAGAAATTCTTTTATTTTTCTTTCATTTCCACTTTTTATGACATTGTGGGTTTTCGTCTAACCACCATACCGTTTTGATCTCCCATATTTTGTTGACTGTAAAACGTTACTTCATAAAAACTTTTTGAAAAATTTACTAAAAGTTTTTTTTTTTTTAGTAGCACAACATATTTCGTACCAGTTACTAAAAATTACTCATAGCTAATCGCTAATATCTTTATTAGAACTATTGCTGCAAAACTTACCTAAATATATAGAGTTCATTCATTTTTAAAATATTTATATGCTTTTAATAATGCGTATTTCGGATGATAGTTCTCAAGAAAATTATTTTGGACATTATTTGCGTTCTCACATTTTTATTATTAAATATAACACATTAATGGAATATTTGCATTATTAAACTAAACATCGGTTATCCTCGCATAATCTAAGCTCTAATACCATTATATAACTTACAGAGAGAAACATTTTTTTATTATTTAGCGACTAAAATAACAGTTATTTTTATTCATGAATGAAAAACGTGAAACAATTTTATTGTTATTCTTATTTATTTTATGTTATGTAACTCTTAAGCAGCTCGTGAAGCTGAGAGTTTTGTTTCCTCAAATAGTATAAGGCTTTCACAGGCGACATTAAATACACGCAAGTCCTCGTTACATACATGAAGGGTGACACCGAATTATGAGGTGCAGATATATATGAGCCGCTCAGAAGCCAATGCGGTTAAGTCGATTTTTTGATATTTTCTGATTTTTGGAAATTTTGATGAAAGAAATAATTTTCTTCTTAGTTATTAAAGGATTTACTCGTTGGTTACTTTTTTCTAGGTTAGACAGCCCTTTTTTTAATAGCTTCTGAATATATTGTAGAATAATTTCAGAAGCCAATGTGAATAAGTCGACCTTTTATCAATAATTTTTTACATAAACTTTGATATAAAAATTAAATTATTCTTCTTCTTTCGATATTTGTTGGTAACACTGAGGAACAGGAAATTCATAGTAACAGGGTTGCCAGACGTAGTATTTTTAATACTACGGTAGTATTTTTTCACCAAGAAAAAGGGGTATGGTATTTTTCGTAGTATTTTTCTAAAATGTGGTATTTTTATTTTTTTTTTATTTTTTATTTATTTTATTTTTATTTCCTAAAACAAAGAAAAGTGCCACTCTAGTTTTGAAGTAAAAAGTAATTTTTAAAATAATAAAACAGTATTAACAGTTATGATGAATAAACATAAAACTTATGACAATAAATTTTATTTTATTACTTTTACATAAATTTCTTATCTTTTTCAGCTGCCAAAAGGTATAAGTCTTAAAATTTTTAAGATGCTGTCATTATTTCAAAAAATACTTACGTTTCTATTTACACATCCTGACATATCTTGCTTTTTTGCAGATGTTATACCTCGAAAAAAGACTTCATACACTTTTCTAATTAAATTAATAAACCAAGAATTTTAAAAACTAATGAATCAAAAAACCTTAATTTTCTCAATTTTTGTGTTTTGGACTTAACCGTATTGGCTTCTGAGCGACTCATATAAAAANTAAATATATATATATATATATTATATATATATTTCGTCTGTTCGTGTGTATGTCACTGAACTCCTCCTAAACGGCTGGACTGATTTAAATGAAATTTTCTGTGAACCTTCAGAAGGATTCGAGAATGGTTTAGATTCACAATTAGATTCACAATGTTTTTTTAATTAATTTTTTATTGAGTGGAAAAAAATTCTACTTCTTCCAACAAGAAAGCTTTAAATGTTTAACGCTACATTTTTATTGGCCGGGAAATCACGTGGTAGGATCCAGTTTTC